CCCCCCCCCTTTCCATGTTTAATTGTGAATAGTTTTGTTTAGACATCCAAATGGAAAATTAGGTAGGAAACACTTACATTTAATCCCTGATGGTGGTTCATTTATGTCAAAAAACAGATACATGTGAAGCAGAGACAAAACCATGAAGTAGATTATAATGGTTCACATAAAATTCAGATGATTAATTTAATCTTGCCTTCCTAACATTGACAGGTTTTCCAGTAACTGAAGAACAATTAGAAGAAGCAGCAACCGAGTCTGGAGTTCTTCACGTGTCTGATGATTTTCTTACCCCAGAAGTGAGAGCTGAATGTCAAAGAATCATTCCAGACTTTGAGACCATAAGGCCAGATGAATGCAAGGATGCATATCTGTACTTAAAAAGCAAATTTTCACTCCAAGTTTGACCAAATTTATCTTTATTTGAACTGTAACATAGGAAAAAATGAAACTGCATATTTTCATTTACAGGCTGTATAGCATGAACAAGAACACTAAAACAGAATAAAGGAGATGCTATCTGTCCAACAAAATGGCTAATTTCTATGAAAGAATATTTCATCCAGTAACAGCAACAACAGTAACTTTACAAACAAGAATTAAACAGCAAAGAAACCAATAACATGGAACACATCAGCCCAGTTGTGTGGGCCAGGAAGTACAAAATTAATTGCTCTGACCAATCCACTTGTGCAGGCTGGCAATATTCTTGCAATTCTTTTTTGATTGTATATTGCCAATATTTTGGTTGCACTGCACACAGGTTTGTGGCAGGCATTCTTGGTAAAGTAAAGCTTTTTTTTGTTTTTGTCTCAATCACATTGTTAAGAGTTAACTTGAGATGTTTTAGCTAATTTGTGCTGCCAACTGGGACCTTAGTCAACTTAGGCAGACCAGCTCCATATAAAAATAACCTAAAAAAAGTCAGCTAATAAACATTTACTTTCTTACTGGGATGCCAATGGCAGCAACTTAAGCTGCAAGATCCTACAATAAAAATTGCACTTGTGTTTTGCAAAGAAATTCTTAATAGCTCCCTCTGCCAAGTTGCCATTGCAGAAACGCAAGGAACCGTCACCATCTGTTAATTCTACCGAGGCAATTTCGGGGTCATACAAGTTAAGTCCTGCACCCTGAACATCTAGTACCATGAGCTTTCCCTGTGACTTTTCATATGTGAAATGTGCAAAACACTGAGCCTTGTCACACAGGACATCATCCTCAGTGCAAATGTCCCCATTGTTGTTGATATACTTAACAAACACACCATCAATGAATTCTTCAATAGTCACATAGTCACCCTCACTCATCTTGCCTAGGAATACCTTCTTATAGTGAAAGGTAACGCCAAACTCTGTTAATGTTTCCTTTTCCACTTTCTCTTTCAATTGGGATGTGAAATTTCTGGCTAAATGATGCATCTGCACAGCCTTTCTTGTGTGACTCTCAACAGTCTGATTTGTTTTAATAATATCATCCAAAGTACCCTTCAGGTATTTTTTGATGACCCAAGTCACCCCGCTAAATCCAAGAGTGTCACTAGTGGCTTTGAATGCCTCTCTAAATCCACCAGATGCAAATGGCTTGTCAGCTATCCTAAATTCTACAGTCATTGGAGCAGTGGACCATTCCATATGCTCAATGTTAAATGTGAAGATATCAATAATGGTCGTTGTCTTCTTTGCAATGACATTCCCCAGCTTTAACATTTCTACAACTGAGAGGCTTTTTGGGTAAACTTTACTGACTAGACTCCCATACTGCTTCTTAGGACTTGGAAGTGAACTAGTTGTTGAAGCCTTATCATATCGAGCTCTCTTGGGCTTTGGTATATACAATGCAAAAGAGACAAATAATTAAAACAGGACAAGAAAGAATTCAAAGGTTACAAATTGCACATCAAAAACACTTTTAAGAATTTCACAGCACGATTATCATTTGAGTTAACTAGATTTCTATGATTACAAAGTTGTTGATGTATTTATTTCCCATTTAAATTTGAATATTATTTGTCAAAGGTTGCAGACTGACAGCCCAAAGCTTATAGATGTTAAATTTTTTCGCCAGAGAACACATTTTACCTTTTCAATTGCATCGCTTGACATACATAACCCTGGCAGATGCAATGGGGTGTCTTTTTTGAGTGGTCGTCCATTAATGTGATGATTTAAAAGTAACTTAGAAAATCATGTAGATCCATGTAGTATCAGAATCGGGCAGTGTCTAATACATAAACATACCTAACTGCTATCATGAATAATATTCGTGTTAGGCGTCGACTGATACAGTGCTACACTTGAGTTTAACATTCACTTGTTAACGCTTACCCCACGGCTGCGATTCTCTTCTTCCTCAAGTTCCCCTTCTGGTTTAACAAACCGGACGTAAAACACTTTTTTGTTTGGAATTTGAGCCATCTTGTTACATGATGGTCCACGCTTTCCCGCTAACACATCACAAACAAGATCTTTCTCAATTTGGGGCCCGAAATGCTTTTGACAATGCGAGTAAACAATAATACCACCAATGCAATACAGACTCGTACAAATACAGTACTGCTCACAAGTAATCTAACAGGGAATGCATTTGCAGACAGGTACAGAACGGATACCGAACGGGTTTGGGAATGCGAACAGAACAGATACAGAACATGTACAGAACAAATCATCTTATGTCTTTTTTAATTTCTTTTAACATGCATTGAGCAAGCATTTTCTCTGCTTCTTCTATTCCATTCTATGTTCATCGCAGCAATTTTGTTAAATTGTCAGCAAGCCCTAGTTACATCCAAATAAGGAAAAAGATGGATGAGTTGAGTTAGACTGGAATAATAATAATAATGATAATAATAATAATAATGATAACATTTATAATGCGCAAATTTCATAAAATGTTTAAATGCACATGACAAGATTAGAAACGGAATAAAAAGGCTAAAAAGCCAAAATTACAATTAAAAGTAAACTTACAATAATAAAAACAGCTATGATAAAAATGCATGACGGAAAAGGTGAGTTTTTAGCTTGGCTTCATAAATACTAACAGTGCTGGCGCTTCTTATGTCAAATGGTAGCGCATTCCAAAGTTTCGGTGCAGCACAGGTAAAAGAATGGTCACCTAGTGTACCTTTTGGTTTAAAACGTGGATAACTAAGTAAAAGTTTATCGCTAGAATTCCTTAGATTATATTTGGATGGGAGCCTAAGAGAAAAAAGAGAAGATAAATAAGTAGGCACTAAAAAATTAAGAATCTTAAAAGTAATTAAAAGTATTTTAAACTTGATTCTATATCTAATCAGTAACCAGCGTAATTCATAAATAAGAGGCATTACATGAAATTGAAAATGAAGATTGAAATTGAGATGGAAATGTTTCTACATTAAAAGAAACAAAACAAAACCCTGGTGTGCCAACTTTGTGGAGGGATCAGCGAGTACCACATTCAATCTTAACTGAGCATTTGCCTGTGAAAACTACAATACTGAAAGTATCACAAAATGTTTAAACAGCACTGCACTCGCTTTGGCTTGTTGGGAGTACCTTGCTCCCCTCTCTTCCTCAAGCCAAGCTTATGCCACATTTGCCGAACAGTTTTCAGTGGTACTTCAGTGTTAAATCTCACTTGAATCATTCGTATAAATAGTAGAGCTGAAAGTTTGTCTTTTACTTGCATTTCTTCATTGATGGTGATAAAAGTGCTTGACAAGTTTGTTACATATACTTCTTCCTTTCCTTGAGCAAATACACAGACCAGCCGCCACTTCGTGTTGTTTCAGAAAAAGAGACTACCTGCCATGAAGTCTCAATACCATCTTCTCTGCTTATTTTTGAATAATTGGACTCACATTTTCACCTGGAAATGTAAGTTTCCTTTTTGTATTCTTGCTTAAACCAAGAGTTTACCCATTTCATGAAATGCAAATGAGTGTCACTAATTCCTTGGGAGCATTCTTGCAAATGGGTTCCAAAACCCTTGTTCTTCTGAACGAGTGCTGACAAGCTTACTGATGGAACGCTAACGGAACGGAACGGGAACAGAACAGTGCAGAACAGATAGAGAATGGATTTGGAATAGATACAGAACAGATACAGAACAGATAGAACACGGGTACGGGAATACTTGTGGAACAGCAGTGGAATGCGTTTTGTCAAGCATTCCCTGTTACGTTACTTCTGAGCGGTACTGTACCTCTGTACAGGTGGGGAAGGTATGTATTCATTTTCAAATCTCTGATTTGAACTAACCTTTTTTATCCTGATCATCATCTATGACAACGCAGTCAGCGGAACAGTCGAACCTTGGTTATCCGTACTTGTCGGCACTAGACGAAATAGTACGGATAATCAAAAATATGAATACTAATGACAAACAAAACTGTTTAAGTAAAGCAATATTTAATTGTGAAACAACACTTTGACAAATCGTTTGGAAAACAATATGGTCTACTGTACATCTTGAACCACTCAACTCTGAGGCAATCAGAACTCAATCAAGTGTTCTTCATTAGTTATGATGCGTGCGAGCGCTCCTTTTGCTCTTTACAAGCAAAACAAACTCGCTTTTAACTGCACTTTTCAATGCTATAGTTTTAAAAAGAATATTGCTACAGATCTTAATCATGACATAAATATTCATGGGAACATTTCTAGAGAAAAAGTCTAGATAATCAAGAAATCTGGATAGTCAAGGTTCAAGTGTAGTCTTTTTACATTGTCTGGAACCCAGCCTTTGAGCAAATTTTCCATCAAGTCCAGTTTGTGGTGCTCAAGTCATCGTGCACAATCCTACACACAGAAAAAGAAAATTGTTAAACTTCTGTCTTACTAACTGAGAAATGAAAGATATAATTCCAATGTGCTTGTATCAAGCTGGAAACAGGTGCATGTAGAAGTTCCTATCGACTATCAACATGTCCGCTTAGAAAAAAACTCCTCAAAAACTACATTTAAAGAGTGCCTCTCAAATTTCAAACTGTGCCTCAAAGAACCTGTGTATCCTAAAAGGTCACTAACAGGAGTCTGTTTCTCGAACAGAAGGTCAGTTCTCCAGCAAAGAAAAAAGGCTCAAAAGAAAGTTGTGCCATTTGTCATAACATATAACCCAGCAATGATTTTTGATGAGTACTAGCCTTTGCTGAAGAGCATCACTACAGAACCAAATCAAGATACAGTGAAACATGTATTAAGCGGACACCTTTGGGACCCTCACTAGTGTCCACTTAATATGTACAGGGTTTCCATTCTAAACAGGTTCAGCAATGATACTTCATTATTAACCCTTTTGTAAGATCAGAGGCTGATCTTCCAAAAGTGTAAGATCAAAGAGTGCCAGCTCATAGCACAATGTCCAGTTGGTCAATGCATCATTCAATTCAGAATAATCTACTTAATTTTAAAACAACATCACTGAACAATGTTAAAGATGTCCGAGCTGAGCTTTCAGAAGTAAAAAGCTTTGAAGTTTCTGCTTATTACAAGTTTTGTGTAACAAAATGGCTTTATATTATTGTCTGCATCTGCTTAACAGAGGTGTCTGCTGAATGCAAGTTTATTTTACAGTAAATGTAGGAAGAAAATCTCGAACT